AAGGGAAGTTCGTATTAATGCGTGGGATTTGTAATTCCTTCCAGAGTGTGTTTTCTTTTGCGTCGCGTTCGAACTAGTAGCCTATTGGAATATTGAGGCATCATATGCGGATCTTAATTATGTCTAAGGTGGCTTATTGCCTGAACAGTTTGTAATGGATGACACGAGATCATTGAATTCGAGATCAGTGTGATCTGAGTATATAAAGTAAATTAAGGGGACAAGACCATTGTTTGGTTCAGAATGAGGTGATAGTTCTTGTTAGAAGTATAAAACCAAATGAATTGTTAATTCGGCGGTGTTATGAATTTATATAGATCTCATCCGTCATGTCGGTATTATACGAATTTGAGCAAGGCCTTCGTGTGTCATGCAAAGCATGGGATGTGTAATGAACTTCTTCTAGAGAGTATCAACGAAAGCTCTCGACTTGTTGAGTACGTAAACGTTCATGGTTTGGAAAAGAAGTGAAGTCCTCATGTTACCTTAGGATGGTATGGTATATGCGATATGTTGTAAAGGATTGAGAACTGCGCGTGTAAGGTTGTGGTTCAGTCCTGAATGGGAATTCATAACATTCTTAGGCAGTATGATCAGCTTTGGGTGAATTAAGAAATGAGCTCCAGATGATTGGGGTGAACGATCTTCAGATGACTAAGGAAAATTGTATTTTAATCATAGCGATTGTAGAGGTTATATGTTTTAGAAAAAGGCCAATATGATTTAATTGATGGTACTTTGATAGTATTGCAGCACTTTAAGGTGGATCGACTACTGATATTGAATTGCTTGTATAGCGCATGAAATTTTAGAGTCTTTATCGCGAGATGATTGTGTATTAAAGATGTGAATGTAGTCCACACTGTGGAAATTGGGGTCAGGTATGACGATGCGTTCTTAGCGTCAAGCAATTCTGAACTAATGTGTCATGGGCTATGCTGGAAATGCCACGGGTTGAGTGGCGAGGCGAGTTAGAATATGTTCTAAAAGGTTTGCGTGGTGTGTGTTATTTGATTTGTTGTGGGTACAATGAGTTACTCTGGCTCCAGCCATTAATTGTGCGTGGCTGTCGGTTTTGATCATAATAACTTATGGTGTTTCATATGTAACAGTGTTTGAATAAGATCGCGCGTTGCTGCGAGGATGTGTAGAAACATGACCTTGTGGGTCAAATTTATGTATCATATTTCAGTGATGTGAGACATGGTCTTAGCCTTGTGTTGTGGCAGTACTAGTGAATTTGAGGTATAACTCTCTCAATTGAGTCTTTTTAATGATTTGAGTATGTTCATACCATTTCTTATTGGCGAGCGTATTATGCAAGTTGTGGCATCCGACCTATATGAGATAAGGTGACGTGGAATCACCTCTGTATTTATACCTGGTAAGGTTAGTCAGCAATTGTTGGGCTTTTGGAAGAACTCTGTGCACGTTCGAGGACGAACGTCTGTTTAAGTTGGGGAGAATGTAACGACCTGAATCGTCGTTTCCTGTATTTATGCCCCGTAACCCCCGTTAAATGCTTGTTCATGTTTCAATATGTGTATTTGGAGAATTCGAGTCAAATCGGATTGAATTGGGTAGGAAATGAGACAATTAGTTTCTTTAAGGAAGAATTAGTTTGGAAAGGTCAACCCAACATTGAGTTTTAAGTTAGAGGGCTTGGAACGGATTTCCGATGGCTCGACTAGTTCCGGGGAATGATTCGTGACTTAGTGGTGAAAACGAAAGTGAATTTGGAGGTCCGGTGTGAAAATTAGCTAAGTTTGGCGAAGTTAGTATTTCGGAGAAATCCGGTCGTTAGGTGAGAATTTGATCCGGGAGTCGGAATGGAATTCCGACAGTTGCATTAGCTCCGTTAGGTGATTTTGGACTTGTGTGCAAATTTTCAGATTATTTGGAGGTGTTTAGGCCGGATTTTTGATCGAATGAGGTTTTGAGAAGATTAAGTTTTTCCTAAGTTTAATTTGATGAAAAAGTGACGATTTTGATGTTAAAGAAGGTGTTTTTATGATTTGAGCAAGTTTGGATGAGGTATTAGGACTTGTCTGTGTATTTGGTTGAGGTCCCGAGGGCCTCGGGGTGATTTCGGACGCTTAGCGGACGATTTTGAGTTGTAAAACTGCTGCTGAAATGCAGCAGTTATTGCAGAAGGAATTTGTTCACTTCGATCGCGAGCCTATGGCCGCGATCGCATAGAGTAAACGGGAGAGGTCCAGATTTTGCTCTACGCGATCGCGTAAAGTGGTCTGCGATCGCGTAGAATGGTCTGCAATCGTGTAGGGCTACGCGTTTGGTCAGTGCGATCGCGTGGGCTCGAGTGCGATCGCGTAAGGTTGGCTGCCTGTGCTCTGCGATCGCGTGGCTTGGCCTGCGATCGCGTAAGAGAAATTTCAGGCCATGGATTTTTGGCCTATGCGATCGCAGGAGGATTGATGTGATCGCATAGAGCAATGGTTCTGGGCAGAATGTTTTAAGTGAGATTTTTGTCCGCGAGCTTCATTCATTTTCCACCATTTTCAACCAATTTTGAGAGCTCTTGAGCATGGATTGAAAGGGATTTCGACCTATATCAATTGGAGGTAAGTTTTATGAGTTTATTACGTGATTATATCCATGAATCATCATAGAAATCCCTGAAAATTGGCCAAAATTCATGATTTAGGGTTTTGAGTTTCAATACTTTAAATGAGGATTTGAGGGGTCAAATGGATTCCGAATTTTATGAAATTGGTATGTATAGACTCGTGGCGAGACGAGGGTCATTTTGATGTAAAAAAATTTGGATTTCGAGACGTGGGCCCGGGGCTCGGGTTTTGTGAATTTCGTCGTTTTTTGAGTTTTTTTGATTGGGTTATGATCCATTAGCATCATGTGATGTATTCACTCTGTTTTTGTATAGATTCGACGCGCAAGGAGGCCAAATTGAGAGGCAAAGGCGTCGCGAGCTTGAGATTTCATCGGTTCGAGGTGAGTAATGGGTGTAGATAATTATCTGAGGGTTCGAAACCCCGGTTTATCACATTGTGACGCTATTGTGAGCTAGACACGCACTCCATGGTTAGTGCGGGGTCGTATGCGTTGTGAATTGTGACTCGGTCCAAACCGAGGAATAAATTGTATTATATTGGCGATTGTTTTCGCATTATATATTGTGATATCTGGGCTTGATGCCATGATTGAGGCTTTGTGCCGAGTTATATAATCCTTTAGAGATTAATATTGTGGATTCATAGTGACATGCACATCATAGTGCTATATTGAGGTGACTTGCACGCTGGACATGAGCGTGGGGTAGAGCACCGTTGGGGATTGAGACTTGATCCATCCCGGATATTGAAATTGTTGAATAATTGATAAAGATATACTGTTTTATATCTAGAGTTGGGCTTATTGCCATACTTAGGCTTCGTGCCAATGACTTGAAAGTCTTTATGATTATTACATCATTATTTTCCTCGAGAATGAAATATTATTGAATTCAGTCCAATTGAAATACATTATTTTGTGGATTCAGCTACATTTATACTCATCTCGAGTTTTTAATAATATTTATGATATTTATGAGCTGAGCATCCTTGTCTTACTTATGCCCAAGGGGCTTATATTATTTTCTGGACTGATTTTAAAATGATTTGAAACAGTGGTAACAATGACACTGTATTATTATTATTATTATTATTATTATTATTATTCTCGAACAGTGGTAACAATGACACTGTACTATTATATTTTAAACAGTGGTAACAATGACACTGTATGGCATACTTGAAACAGGGGTAACAATGGCCCTGTACGATATACTTGAAACAGGGGTAACAATGGCCCTATATGATGTAAATTGGTCAGGTAACAATGGCTGACCGGTCAGGTAACAATGACTGACCAAGATATAATGCGCTTGGGCTGAAGGAGCCCCTCCGGTACTTATGTATTTGGGACAGTGGTAACAATGGCACTGTAGGAACCCCCGGAGTCTGCACACACCCCCAGTGAGCGTCGTCGACGTTAAATAAATGGAGCGGGCTGTATGCCGCAGCGGGTACTAGAGTGTACCGTCATATGCATTGCATTACACTCATACATTGGTTAATATTTTTGTAATGTTGTCAGGACATTCAGCACTCATATCATTGGCATCCATGCTACTTCTTGTACTGTTTACCAGATACCCTGGTGTTATTTGTTGATGGAGTGCTAGCCCGAGAGGCCGTTACTTATGTGTTGTGAGCTGAGATTGAGCCTTGAGGGCTGATACTGAGAAGAGATATTGATATTGAGCCCAAGGGGCAAGTTCCGGATAAGTCCTTACTGATGTTATCGTTGTAGCTGAGTATTGAGCGGTGATGTTAGCTTCACACCAGTGTTATGCTATGTTTTCCTGCTTTCAGGTTTTTATATACATTTATTACTCACTGAGTTGGTAGACTCACCCCATACTCCCTGCACCTTGTGTGCAGATTCAGGTGTTGCTGAGGCATGGTATTGCTGTTGCTGTTGATCATCAGACGGTGTCGAGGAGTAACGAGGTAGCTGTTGGCGTCCGCAGCCCCGTTTTCTCCCTTATATTTTGTTATTTGTATTATTCCAGATTTGTAAAATAACGGAAACTCTGTAGTAGCTCATGACTTGTGACACCCCGATTTCGGGCTGAGTCGGGATGGGTTTTACTATTCTACCATGTCTATTACTCTTTTGTGGCCATATTACCTGTTAATATATTATTATGAGACGTATCTTTTGGTGTTGGCTGGCCTTGTCTTCACGAGAGGCGCCATCACGACCATGTTGAGATTTTGGGTCGTGACATTGTCGCCCCATTTCGCTATTCTTGAATGTCACGCTAAGACCGTGACACTGGCTATGCCAGGTGCCATCATGACATGTTCACCGTCGGTGAACTAGGGTCGTGACAAAGGTTGATCCCGATTCAAAAGAATAGTCTCTTCACAATTCTATGAAACTAGAGACAAGCAATCTTCAAATATTAGGCAAAGCTGTAAAATCATCAATGAAAAAATATGAGAATTTTTGCGAATATTGTCATGTCAAGTGGTCGTTGTACACCATGGAGAATTTGTGGGTGCATTGCAAGGACGACCCAATACATCCTTCTCTATGTAAACTAGATGTCTGCACGGGTCCAACGACCAACACTTCAACAACAGAATCCTAGAATACGTGATCAACTTTATCAACTAACACCAAATGTTATGTAGTAAGTTATATACATCTTGTAAGTTAGTCAAAAAGTTAACAGGTGCAGACATTTGCCTTCTCGTGTGTATATCGTTGATGCATCTTCAAATATGTATTTGCATTCTCGTGTGTATATTGCAACTTCAGAACATCAGTAGTTTGTTTCTTTTAGCTTGCCCATAGTATTCAAGCAGGTACCACATTCGAAATGCCCTTGTATTCCTATCTTCGTTCCGAAAGTTGCAGGTAGCACCTCTTAGATCACCAGGCATGATTCCATTTAACTACAAACATAGATAGAATACTTGCATTGTTGAGTAGCTATAGGACAATGCAAAGAAAAACTTATGTCTTCTGAGTTACTGGAGTAAAGTTATAATCTATTATATAAGGTGTAATCTTTTATCAGACAATAATTGTGCAATGTTGTTCAAATAAAATCAATATCTATGGAAAGGAAGCTAGAAGTAAAGAGCCTATATACATTTCCAGTAAGTTCAATTGTCAGTTATGTGAGAGGAGGGATTAAGGTTAAAAGCTTATCGCAAGAGCTGACAGAGTAGTTGCGATCATTATCCTTTTTCCTGATCATTCTGTGAAATTCTGTTATAGGAAGAGGAATTGCATAAAATCTGTTACATTTTATCAGCAATGCACAAAATGTCTTCATCAGTTATCCGGTAACTTAATTTACAGAGATAGATAAGTTTAATAGAAATATAGTTTTAGTAAGTATTACTATATATTGTCAGTGTATCCATGTCTCTGTTAAATATCATAGAAGCTTCTTATTTGATGCATAAATATTGATGTTTTCTCTACAAAAGAAAAAGTACGCACAGATTAACCATACTTCTGTTCACAGCAATGCAAGAGCTGCACATAAGTAGTTTTATAGTGAGTACTGAGTAGTACCATATGTTTTCATTGTAAGTATACCCCAGTTAAATGTTATAGAAGGTTCTTTTTTGATATACAAATATCGATGATAAAGTAACTTTCTAAACAAAATAAAAGGCACGGTCAAATTGTTCATACTTCTGTTCACGACCAAGGCAACAACTGCACATAAATAGTTTTATAGCAAGTAGTATTATATGTTGTCAGTGTAACCATGCTTCATGCTTCTTGTTAAATATTATTGAAGGTTATTATTTGATAAAATAAATATTGATGATAAGTGTTCTTTCTCAACAAAATAAAAGGTATGGTCAGGTTATTCATACTTCTGTTTATGATCAAGGCAAGAGCCACACATAAACATGAAAAATTAGTAAGTTTGCCAGAACCAAGTTGGTACTCAGATGAATAAGTTAATAACAAAACTGATCAATATAGGCGATATTACTACTTACATGTATCTGCATATGTTGCAATATAGTCAACAATATTACCTACAATATAAGTGATACATAAGAAGAAAAGGGAAAAAAATATCATTCAGTGTGTATGAGTAATGCTAAGTGCACAGGTATTGATGTTAGATATATTTGATTTGGATTAATGAAGTTCACTTAGATAACACATCGAAGTGTATTAGAAGAAAAGAATCCATAATCCATGAGATACTGTAATTATAGAGTACTTGGCATTGAAAAGGTATACAGATGCAACATCTTATAAAGAAATGAATAAGTCCCTTTTTAAAATACAAGAAAAGCATCAAAATTGACATGCATAGTGCCTTCCAGATGAAAGTGTCACAGAACCATCGAAGACAAATTGATGTTCAGCATATGGATATCCTAAAACGCTGATCCATCAAACTAACCTTAAACATTATAATTCAACACCACAAATATCCTAACTTTCACTTCTTTCATTTCATTTAAATATGCAATCAACTTGGCTTTGTCTTGATGATTAGCTGAAGCGAGAGTGGCCGAAGCCACGACCTTTGCTTTTCTTAACTTTCTTCTTAGGATTTCTTGTTGTCCAAGGGAGATTGTTGAATAAACCTTATACTATGTATCTAAACTTCAATAGGACCACCACAATCTAACAACGGGGAAAAAAGACTTCACATTAATACATCATCGGAATTACTAAATGGCAACAGTAACAAAATAAATTATTGTACCCTTTTTGCTTTCAAGAACAAAGAATTATTTTAAAAGTTCATCGTGACTTACTTGAAATAGTATCTTTTTGTCAGTTACCTCTATTTGACACTCATATTTCCATCTTCCTCCTTATAATTTGGTTACGTTTATGTGAATAAACGACCATAGGCTGGGTTTGGTGTCTTCCTCGGAGCTTTCTCTTGTTTCATCCTATCAAACATCAGTTAGGAGGTAGATATTAGTGGAGGCATCACCTTCCATGTACATTTTCAAAGAGACCGAAGAAACTTTAAATCACTAACATGAAAACATTTGTCTCAAAGACAACAATAACGATGAAAGTTAAAGATACAAAATATTTCAATAAAAAAGTTCATCATTTTTTAGATTCGAAGTAGAAAAGCGTAAATAAAGAACATCATCAAAAAAGAAACAAAATAGTGAAAGCAAATGCTCAAAGGAATCAGTAAGCACACAATAACATAAGATGAACAAGGCATATCATCAAACACCATATGTGCATAGTCTACTTCCATATTTTTTTGTTTCTTTGTCACGATATAGGAAAGATTGGCTCCTTTAGTGCAATCAATTTTAGCCAAATTTATCTTCTTCGTCTGCATTATTTCGCTTTCTAATTATCTGATTGGCTTAGGTATCCAAATGATTAAAACGAATTGGGACATTTATTCAGTGAATTGTTATAGCGGAGAATCCGTAATTCAAGTTTTTTTGTAAAGTCTCATCTTCCATAAGATATTTTTTGATAGTGCTATAAAAATTAACCCAAAATTAAAGGGGGATAAAAGTACCTTGGAAACTGTTTAACCAAAAAATAGATTTTGACTAAATCTATGAATATAATGAATAAATTACGGGTTACTGATAATCAAGAGACGATAAATAATGATGGCTTTCAATAAGAATAAAGAGAACAATAGATCAAGAATTTCCAATCAAAGATGTAAAGTATCAAGTGTTATTCTCCGTTATTCGATGATCTTTTCTTAGGACTAAGGCAACTATTTATAGAATCATAGATTGCCCTGGAGCCTCCTTTACCAATCCTTCATTATTACCGTTAATACTCCACTAAAAAGGCTTTTTACAGTGGGTCCTTATGTCTAATATAAATAATTAATAGTAATAATTGAAACCTAACACACTAGTCCGTGTTTCCTGCCACTTTGACTTATTGATCTATTCTATAAAAGACGAAGCCTATCCCTTTTATAATTCTTTAAGGAATAGGCTTACTTTGTTTTAGATCAATAGGAGGCTTACATCATGATACTAGTGTTTACAAGGTATATTGACTAAAAGTTCGTACGTGTTTCCCGTAGCTGTTGATGGGTTTCGCACTTCGTAGCTCTTTTTCTGCTATTTAGGTACGGGAGACTTTCCTTGCTTTTCCCGTACCTGTTATCTTTCTTCTGTTCCCGTTCCTGTTGATACCCGTAACTGTTTCCCTTCTTCTTTCTTTCATGACACGTATAATGCCACGTGTCATGCCATTCACAGTAAATTTTTACCCAATACAGAAACTATAACCTAGATATATATCTTGTGAAATAGAGATAAAGAAGAAAAGCATATAAAAACATAACAAACAATGAAAAAGAAAAGAAGTACCTTACGATGAAGAAGTATGTAAACTCAAAAAAAAATTAGTTATGGTGAGAGAGATTGAGAGAGTGCTTCTTGAAAAAGAGAGATTGATTCAAACACCAAAGGGAAAAATACGGATTATGCAAAGATGTATCTATGACTCAAGTGGCAAATTTATCAATTTATTCCCCAATATATGCAAAATTTCGAAACTACCCTTGTAAATGTCTAATTTTTGCCCCATCTTTTTCTTCTACATTATACATATGTATGTGTGTGTATGAGTGTGTGTGTTTTTTCTTATTTGTGTATGTATAGGTTTTAAGAGTTGATTAGTGATTTGAAAAATGGGGTAGGGATTGGGCTAGTGTATTTTATTTAAAATTGATCCAAAATTGGCCCAAAATTTGAGTCCATTTCGTCCAAATCCGATCCACAAGGGGCTGCCAGGGGAGGATCAAAACTACATCGTTTTAGCTAAAGAATCCAAGACTCAATCTCACACATCCATTCCCTCATGATCCAATGGTCCTTATCTATCCCTACCTCAGGTATATTAATCCTAAAATCCCCAAAAATTTGCGCTATTTTCCCTTTAATTCCTCTCTTCTTCCTCTCTCACCTCTCTCCGGGCCTTCTCAGCATCACCGCCCGTCGGAATTCGCCACCGGCGGTGGTCAATGTCCAAACACTACCCAACTTACACCATTCCCTTCATCTCACTACCCTATCTCCGAATCCAAGCCCCATGTCCTCCAAATCTCCACCAATCTCCATAAATCTATAAAAGTCCAAAAAACCTAGCTTTTCTTTTTCAAAATTGATAAAGTTCCACGCCACATTTTCACATAAGACTTACATATACGTGCACGTCTTGCATGGTTCTATCTCTTTGTGTTGGTTTCAAGTCCAAACTCCGGCAATCGGAATTCGATCGTCCTCCACTGCCGCGACCATCGCTGACCTCCGTCCACTACCCCAACGTCTTTCCCGTTCTCACATCTAATCAAGTCATGCATGATTTTATTGTCGATTATACCGAAATTGAGATTCAACTCACCAGATTTAGTATTTTGGTATCAATCAACAATAAAACCATGCCCGGGTCGAATCACCACCATCGCTGCCATTGTCTCACCGCTGCCTGTGTGCTCGAGTTTTCGGTAAATCTTCAATCCGTATCCCATTTCCCATTTCTGATTTTTTTCAACTTGTGCTTCGGATTTAATTTTAAGGTTTAATCTTTGTTTCTAAGTTTGTGAGTAGTATTTATAGGTTAATTAAACTATTGTAATGTTAGTTGTGAATCGCTTGTTAGTTCATAGCATAAGAGCTCGTTGTCCTTTTTTTTGTTATCTCCTTGTTCGATTTGGCATCGACTTCCCTTTTTTGGTATAACCCTATTCGTTTTTTCTTCATTTTTCTGATTTTTGGTTTGTTGTTATGTTAGAAAAGCGATAACTAAAAAATCTCCCCAAGTAGGATTCGAACCTACGACCAATCGGTTAACAGCCGACCGCTCTACCACTGAGCTACTGAGGGATTTTTGGTTTATTGTTAGGACTAGGATCATATTAAAAGTAAAGGGAAAGAAAAGTTGAATACTCGAGTGTTGGGTCCGTGTTTGGTAGCTTTCACTATTGTGGACTGTTTTGGAGTACAATACTCCAAATTTCTGTCCACAGTTGGTAAGGGAAACTGTTCATTGGACAGATTTCCGATTTTGGACAAATTTTGGGTAAAAAATCTATCATTTTGCACAGATTTTTGGCTAAAACCAAATCTGTCCCAAGACTCTTCCTCTCCTATAAAAGGAGGTCTTCCCATATCATCGAGGAGCTTCTGAAAATCCTTTTACACTCTAAAAAAAAGACACAAAACTTTGAAAAAAATAAAAGGGTCTGGCAGACAATTTCTGAGTTTGTTAGGTTTTGTCTTCAAGTGGTCTTTCTGAGATTTTCTGGGTTGGTTTGAATACTGATTTGTTGCTGGTTGTTGCTGTTTTGGCTATAATTTGTGCTGGAATTTCACTTCATTCTTCTGTATTTTGGTGTTTGCTACATTTCAGGTAATTCTTCATCCTTTGTAATGCATATTTGTAATAGCAGTCAGTGAAGGTTCAACCATATCTATATTATTTCAGCATCTTTAAAGAAGTTTTGCCGGAAGTTCTACTTTTGAATCCAGCTTAAGGATCATAGTTTGTTGCTCTGTTTTTCCTCTGTAGTATTTTTTTTTTCTTTCCTTCTTTTAAGTAGTATTTCAATATAATCCTTGCAATATTTTAGAAAAGGAAATACTATGTTAAATATTTAATGAAGACTTTGGAGTGGACAAAAGCTATGGAGTTTATGGAAAAGAGTTTTGTTTGGCTTAAAATCTCTGTCATTTTGCTTGTTGGAAGTTGGGATTAATATCATCAAAGAATCACATAATGATCTAGTTTATTATTCCCGTATTGTAGCCATGTTATTTTCGGCTTTAGTTTATTTTTCGTTACCCAATTTTTCGTTCTAGATTTCATGTTTCTTTTACTAGTCCCCTTTAGTACTACTTTAGTTGGTGAAAGCTGAAAATTTTCTTTCTTCCAAGTCACATGGAAATAGTGTGGGTTGTTTGTGCAGTTGTTAAGCTATTGGCTCATATCAACTAATGAGTTACATTTGTGTCTAACTAGAATTGGTCCCAACAGCTTACTTCATTATAAGTTGTTTCAATTTTTTAATCAAGAAGTTAGCCCATTTCTTTAAAATAGATAGAGTTGATCCAGTATTAAATTGTCATGTTCTCCCATAATAATTAAAATAAAAATTAGAGTTTTTTTAATTATTTTAATAGTTTAGATACTCTTAAATAATTTGAGCGCTAAGTATATGGGCAAGAACATGTGCACATAATTTATTTATTTGTTTTGTTCATACCAATTTCGTTCTTTTAATTAATAATAATGATAATAAGAATAAAGTTATAAGGTCCAATATCAATAATATTCATATGTTGTCCTACAACTATTAACTTATAAAGAAGCATTTTCTTTTCATAATATAGATGAACAATTAATTTTTTCATAATCTAACCTCTATAGTAATGCGTTTTAACTAAGGTAAATAATTTTGTCTTAACCGATGTCGGGAAGACTCGCTTCGGAATAAAGACATAAATAAAATGTCAAGGTCGTGAGGACACGTCTTGTTCCAATTCTTTCAAATAAATAAATTTTTTATTTAATTGCTTTCGAGTAGGCTTCAGTTTTAGGTGCGACGTACGAACTAAGATCGGGGATACCCGTCTTGGCTAGTATAAAATAGGGTCGGGAATACTCGTCCTAGTTTGAAGTTAATAAAGTCATCAACAATAAAAGTGGACATAGGCAAACATAAAATCAAATAAAGCACAATTTTATCTAAAAATTAATTTAAGCCAAATTTTAAGTCAATAAAGCGACCGTGCTAGAACCACGAGATTCGGAGAATATCTTGAACCTTCTCCCCGGTTAATAAAATTTCTTACCCAAACTTTATTTTCGCGGACCGATAAAAATTGAGTCAACTTTTCTTTGACTAGGAATTTAAATAAAGGTGACTAGGAACACCGAAAATCAATTTCAAGTGGCGACTCTGAACAATAAAATAATCCCTATTTAAAAATTATCACTTTGATTGAAAAAAACCCTTTAACCCACAATCCATACACATATTATCTTATTTGCGGGGGTAGAAAAAGGGGTCTGACAGCTCTGGCGACTCTGCTAGGGAATATTTAAGAATTCGAGCTTGTAAATTGACTTTATTTGGCTTTATTAATTTTTTGTATATAACTGTGAGCTATTTGGGCATAATATGCTACTTGCTTGCTCTTTACTGCTTTGATATTATTGAACTATATTATAAATTGTCTTCTTGCGCACCTCCTCTGAGTCTTCTGAATACAACCTCGGGAATCGCGGATATGCACCTCATTCTTTGTTGAGATAAAGTCAGCGGGCCTGGGCTCCCGTTGAAGGATTATTAGTCACCCATATTTAAGAACAGGGAGGGTCCAGTAGTTAAGCCGGAGAAATATTGCTCCTGGTACGCTACCCCTTCCCAACTCGAGTTGTCCGCTTGTTTTCTGGCTAGTCTAGATACGCCTCATCCCCTAGGACTTTTAAAACCTAGAAAAACAAGACACATGTCTGGTTATCCCTAGTAGGATCGTTTTGTTGCATCATATGCATTTGACTTAGCGAAACTTGGCACTGGGGCAGAGTCCGTATAATACAGGTATCCTTTTTGAGACCATCATGTTCACTTATGTGCTACTTGTTGCATCATTCGGAAGACTTGCTTGCATTTGTTGACTGGCTTAGAAAATTAGTTGAGCGAAAAAAATAAATGTAACGACCCGAATCGTCGTTTCCTGTAATTATGCCCCGTAACGCCCGTTAAATGCTTGTTTATGCTTTAATATGTGTATTTGGAGAATTTGAGTCAATTCGGATCGA